TTCGTGTTTCGTCGACAATGCTAGAATGGCTCAGTATAGACAATCTGGAACGGAGAGGTTTGGCGGTCGCGGCGGTTACCATCCCTTTGTCAACGGCGGAGCCTCGTCGGATCACGTAGCGATCGGGATCCGTAACGGAGGTGGAACGCAGCACGGGAAGGCTGGTGGTCGATGGCGGCGATCCGCTCGCCTTGATAGGACTCGCCGTTTCGCCGTCGGCTCTGTCGTATTCGTTCTATGTCTTGTACTCGTTGTCAGTGTCTCTGCGTACTATTATATCTCCGGTTATACTAATTTTGGCAAAGTTGATAAAGGTCAGTGGTTTTTTTTCTCTCTGAGCTTCAATACCATTCAAGTATGAACGATTCACATAGCTAGATCCTCTTTTGTTTTCTGGTTGATTGAGTATGAAATGCGATTTCTCGGATAAGTTTTTGCCTTAAAAGGTTTAGCTGATAGAATTCCAAGGAACTTTTGATTCGAGAGATTGATTTTCCAATAGGATAAAGAACAAGCTAGTGATAATGTCTCTTACGTATTTTCGCAGGAAGCGATACCTATGATGGTGATTTTCTTACGAATGTGTCAAGAACTGACCCCTTGAAAATACTTAAGTTTGGCCACGGTTCAGTGTTACATGGACGAGACTCGAGAGATTGGGATAAGGATGATAGAAGACGGGATGAAGATTATAACGAGGATGACGTAGAGCTAGTTTCTGAAGATAAATCTGTTGCTGAGGAGGAGAGGTCAGTGTCCCAAGTGAAAAAGGATGCATTGCTGCGCAATCCTCTGCACGGTTCAGGTTTGAGGGGTGGTTTTTACAATGAAGCTGGACGTGATGAGCTAAAGAAATATGAAGTAGAGTATCAGGCGTCTCTTGAGAAAGGTGGTCAATCATCAGAAGAAAATGGTGGCCATCATCAGCCATTTGATACAGACCCTAATGAAGACGATTCAATTGATTCTCATGATACTCAAGGGGATGAATACGTTGATATGGGGCATGATGAGGATGAAAATGAAGAATCACACAAAGATGATCATAGGAACAATGAGGTTGATGCTGAAGAATCTCACAAAGAGAATGCTTCCGTGTTTCTTCATTCTGTAGCCAAGCGTCAGAAAACTGAAAAGGTTAATCGAGTTACATCAAAAAGGTCCCGTGGGAAGTCTTCTTCTCTTGTTGGTATGGTTGGTAAGCCTGGGAAGACATCGCAATCTGATACAAAAAGAAGAGCTCGAAGTCGCAGATTTTCAGGTAATGTCCTATAATTAGATGGGTTGAGAACATAACCTTGGCTCTTGCTTCTCAGAATTCTCTTGTTGTTTAAATCCTATAGGTGTATCTTGTGAGATGAAACTGTTGAATTCCAGTCAGCAAATACTAGAGCCTTTGAACACTCAAAAATTTGCAAGACCTTCCTTACAATACATACAGATGGAGGATAAACCCGATGGAGAAGAACAGTGGGAGCCTAAATTTGCAGGACACCAGAGTTTAGAGGAACGAGAAGACTCTTTCTTGGTTCAAGACAAGAAAATCCATTGTGGCTTTGTCAAGGCACCCCAAGGATTGCCAAGCACTGGGTTTGACCTGACGGAAGATGATGCTAAATATATCAGTAGATGTCACATTGCTGTGATCTCTTGTATCTTTGGAAATTCTGACCGCTTGAGACATCCTGCTAGTAAAATGGTAAGATACAGTTAGCCCTTGACATATTTTTATGTTGTATTTTTCTTCTTATTTCGTCATCTAGGATTTGAAAATTTCTAACCACTATTCTCTTAAAGCATCGTGTGATGTATCTGGAAATAGCCCATCCTACAGACATGAAGTCTTTAGACATTTTGTGGCACATAGATACTCACTAGCTGATATTTGCATACTGAGTTTGACCAACTGTTAAACAACATGATCTGAATGAGCAGTAACCTAGTTTCTGGCAACTAGATGAATATGAGGAGTTGACGATTGTGACTGAGTGCAAAGTATCAGAAAATGTATAGGTTGCATAAATGCATCTCCAGATGTATCTATAATCTCCATAGCCACCACATGCAAATGATATGAATACTTGAATGCCAGGCATTCAAAAAGTTCGCTTGATGGTTATAGTGCAATAAAAGCTAATAAACGCCCTGATATATCTTAACAATCTCAATAGAAGCATATCCTCTTTTGTATGAGATTTTATTTGTTTACACGCTGATATCATCAGATTATATCCATTACTTGTGCTAATCTGGTATTCTTGTTTCTCTCTTTATTTAGGTTAGTAGTTTATCAAGAAAAGATGTTTGCTTTGTTGTGTTCGTGGACGAGATTACCATGCAAACACTTTCTGCAGAAGGCCAAGCCCCAGACGAAGCTGGATTCATTGGTTTGTGGAAGCTGGTCGTCGTGAGGAATCTTCCTTACCCAGATATGCGGAGGGTAGGAAAAATTCCAAAACTGTTACCACACAGACTTTTCCCGTCTGCAAGGTGAGACTCATGTTGTAGGGATAGTTTTCAATCGGTCTAACTAGCACATATTGTCCCTGCAGTTACACTTAGCCAAAGTTAGAGCAACTAGACCCACACCTCTTGGTTGAGTATGAATTGAGAATCTACCTGAGAGGATATCAGTTGTCTAGCATATGTATAATTTTTCTAGTTAGCTATAATTGCAAGAGTCAAAATCTGAATACGTTAAAGCTTAGAGGTTGGAAATTGTTTGGGCTATCCACCTAAAGCTTTACAATTCAGAACAGTCTGTATCGAAACACAGAGGAACTCATCAGATGTCTATTCTTTTAGGTACTCGATCTGGTTGGACAGCAAGTTACGTCTCCAGTTGGACCCCTTACTCATTTTGGAATACTTCCTCTGGCGTGAAGGGCACGAGTATGCTATCTCTAATCATTATGACCGCCATTGCCTATGGGAAGAGGTTGCACAAAACAAGAAGCTGAACAAGTACAATCACACTGTCATTGATGAGCAGTTTGAGTTTTACAAGACTGATGGGCTGACGAGATTTAATGCTTCAGATCCCAACAAGCTTCTTCCCAGCAGTAAGATTCTTTTGGATAACTGCTACAAGCTGTATTCAATAGATGTATTCCATCAATACATGTATATGTTTTTCTTTTCTCACGTTGTAATCGTCCTTGCATTTGTTGTTTGCAGATGTTCCAGAAGGGTCTTTTATAGTACGTGAACATACTCCCATGTCGAACCTATTCTCCTGTCTTTGGTTCAACGAAGTGGAGCGCTTCACTCCTCGAGATCAGCTGAGCTTTGCATACACCTACCAGAAATTAATAAGGACGAATCCGGACACTCCTTTTAATCTTTACATGTTCAAGGTAAAGATTCCCTTTTAGAAAACGCTCCATTAAAGTGTTATGATTCCGCATTGACCTGCTTGATGCTTATTAATGTCAATGGGTTCTTCCAATTTTAAGCTGGGTTTAAGAAGTTAGATAGAGCTCTTCTACCTACGGATTTGTGGATCGTGGAGTTGGTATAGTACGAAATGTAAGATAGAAAAACTAGTAATTGACACAAGGTATTATATAATGGTCTCACATGGACCATGTACTAGTTGATTGTGGTCTCACATTGACCATGTACCGTTGGATTGCTCGATCAACCTACAGTTTTAGTTTATGGGTTTGTAGAAAGTGAGAATATGAATGTTTAGATTGGTTGAATAATCTGTTGCTACTAAAATCAACAATCACATGCAGGAATGCATCACAATGCAGGTAGCTTATATTGTTTAGTAGGATCATATCATAAGCCTGTGCAAAAACGCGTATCAAGAAGAAGAATTATAATTTTTCCGTTTTCACAAATTTGCAGGATTGCGAGAGAAGAAAAATCACCAAATTGTTCCGTCACAGGTCAGAGGAGAAGCGAAACCTTATACAAACGACAACACAATAACAGGACCGGTTTTTGAACGCTCTGCCTGTATCAAGCTTTTATCAGTGCTGTATATTATCGCGGCTGTACTGACTGTGAGTAGAGTTAAAAGCACCACAGCTTCTTTTGTTTCTTTCTCCCAGACTAACATTGTTGTGAGGAAGATCAACACGCTTCAGGTGAGAACCGGGGTTAGAGAGGTATACGAATGTGAGGTGATTTTAAAAGAGAGAGGTTCAGTAAAGAAAGAAAAGCCGATTCAATTCTTTTAACAGTCCGGTTTTATTCAATTCATTGCTTCTGCGGTACGCTTGTAGTCTGTATCAGTATTATGATTGCAATTTGCAACAAGAACTCATGAAGGTCTATCGTATGACACTGGATATCACAGAAACGTGTTTATAATCAATTTCTTCTGACAAATGACAAATTACATTTCTGAAGAACACAACTTTTGTAAAAAAAATGGCTCTGCAAGTTATATATATACGTGTATATGGGCAAAACAATCTTATAAACGTGAACTTTCTTGTCTCCGTAGTGGTACTACAGCTTCGAGATCGTCTTCAACTTGCTTGGTTTGACGAGCAGGCCGTGGTGACTTTGCTGACTCTTGGCGTCTTAGACTCAGACTGATGCCTTCATGGTCAAATCCATTGCTGTCTTCTGAGTGTTTTGGAAGTCGCAGAAGCAGATGATGATTATCTGATGATAAATCTGCATTTCGATCGCAGTCAATATCGATTTCTATGTAAAAGCTTGGAATTTATCATTACCCCTGCAACTAAATTGCTTACTTCCTTTAGACTCGGTGTCAACCATGTCTGTTGTTTTGTGAAGAAGAAAGGTTCCAGATAAGATTATAACGAACCCACACAACTCTGTCACGATCTGTGTTCCGTTCTGCCTATCCCAATCCTGTTTCCACAAAAAATGAGCTTATCTTCAATCATTGGTGTTGCGCTTACTAAATGAAAGCACTATCTTTATTATTTTATTGTATACACAAATGCTAAGCGCAGCTTAAGAGAAACTTTGTCTAAATTTGGCGTTTGCGTTTTACACTTTTGCCAAAAATATTTTATGTAAAACTGAACAAAATTTCTTCTTTTTGAAGATGTGAAACCTATATTTAAAACTTTTTATAGAATGCAATGCAGAAATTGGCTTTTGAAAGAACCACTTATATAATATAAGGAGAAGAGAAGAAACAAAGATGTTACCTTAAACATGATGACACTAGCCAAGATTGTCAATGATGTGAACATAACATAGTATATGGGCGAAACCACGGCTGTGTTGAACGTGTCAAGCGCCTGCCAATGAAAAAAAGCGAGAACCCAAAAATGAATTTTCCTAAACCAGCATTTCACTACATTGCACTACGTTATCAGAGACAAAAATGTGTTGAAATGCTACATTTTACTTACTTTGTTTAGATAGTTCATTTGTGTTATCACGCACATAAGAACTATCAGCGTAAAGACCCATGTTTGTGGGTAAACTAACTGATTCATTCCAGAAAAGGTGAGTTTCAACGCTATTCCGAGTGCCTTCACGCTCATAACCTATTTGCACACGGTCACGAATATTGTCACTCCAACTTGTTAAATGTATCACCATGTAAGATTATAGAGTGATCCCGTACCGATAGTGATCCTATGAGTGAGCAAACTCCTATATAGACCATGACATGTGACTGCCCGTAAAGTGGTATAAACTGAACTATAAGTAAAATGGCAGCTCCTACCACACCCGCAGCGTAGAAAAGAAAAGCTGTTAAAGAACAAACAATGTCTCAAAAAAACTATCATATAAATCTTACGAGCGAAATTGGGTTTTGAAAGGGAGGTTAGTACCAGGTTCTGTTGCAAGATTCCATACTTCTAAAACGGAAACAATCTCTTGTTCATGTGGAGCATGTAACACGATTGTTATCGAACCAACTATACATAAAGCACAACCAAGGATCCCAAAAGTGTGCAACTTTTCACGTAATATGATATGCGCAAGAGAAGCGCTGCAAAACACACAACCAAAAATGCTCTATGATTCAATACACCACTTGAATCATTTGGTTTGTAGTTGTCAATATCAAAAATCCAATCTATAGCAAAAGACTACCTAGCCTAGAACATCTTTCGATGCACAAAACTTAGGAGTTTGTTCAAACCTGATAATAATGCTAAGTGCCCCAAGAGGAGTAACCAGAATGGCAGGTGCAAACGCATAAGCGGCAAAGTTTGCAATTTCCCCCACAATCACTACAAAACAAGCAGAGATTGTGTCTACCATAAATGCCGATGAATGTCACATCAATCTTCGAAGAACAATAATGCAAATACCACAGTGACCAAATTCCGCAGCTAAACCGATACTCCGATAAGAAAAGTCTTAAATGAAACCTATATAAATCAAGAAAACTCACTTGATATCATGCCTAACCACCAGAGAGGCTCAAGCAGGTATGAATAACCTCCAGACCCTACAGATATATCATCACCAAAATCAGCCAAAAGAGAAAAGAATCGAGATTGTACATTATTCACGAGACTTGTGATCATTGCAAAGACGGTGCTACCAATTGGTTAAGAAACAAGATTTTGCCATCACTACCTGACCAATACAATCTTTGAGTGGCAATTGATTAAAACTACATAACAAAATCTACCGGGATTACTGCAAAGCATGCTACATTTGAATCTAAAGGTCTCCATTTCACAACACCTAAAGGTCCCCCAACAAAAATTCAATTTTTGCTACTTTGTATACCTAAAGATCTCCATTTCAACACACATTTCAGGTGAAGCGGACAAAGATTGATCAATCAACATTCTTAGCAACTCTATTGACAAAAGCATCATAACCCCATTTCAGAAAAAAAAAACCGAAAACAGAGCTTAGGAAGTAGTGAGAATAACCTGCCCTGAGACCAGAAGCACCAGCTTTCTTCAGTCCTTTCTTCTTCACAATGAAGCTTGCCCCAATGAAAAGGCTTGAAGACATAGCCAACACTAAACCCTTTATATTATCCGACGACATTCCTTTATACGCATCTTTCCAGCTCCCACTTGAATCCGCCATTGCTTCGTTCTTCCTCTTCTGCAGCACAAAATAAAAGCCCTAAACCTTTAGATAAACCAGAAGGCCAAAGCCCGAGCTTTTGGCTACCGGGTATCTCGATTCTGCTCAGAACAACGCGATTGACAGTGAAAAGGTAGAAGCTTTCAGATCTTGGGTATGTCGGTGGCTTGGATAAGGATATGATTGATTTAGGGGTTCGAGAGCAAATGTTGGAGATCAGAA